ACATTTATATTGCAATATGCAATTATTGCTTAATATTTTGATTATTAAATTTTTTAGTAAAATAAAAATTATTAACTATATTAAAATAGTTTAGTTGTGATAATGAATCTGGTTTATTTTATTTATCTAAATTAAAGCTAGATATTAATCTATTTTGCCGAATACTAATAAAAGTTATTTTATTTAATTCATTTATAGATATTACATTTATATTGTAATATGCAATTATTGTTTTATTATAATATTTCAATTATTAAAATAAAAATAATTAACTATATTAAATAGTTTTGGCATAATAATAAATCTGGTTTGATTTTATTTATCTAACTCAAAGCTAAATCTTAAATTTATTTTGCAGAATACTGACAAAAAGTTATTTTATCTAATTTATTTATAAATATTATATTTATATTGCTATATGCAATTATTATTTTATTATAATATTTTGATTATTAAATTTTTTAGTAAAATAAAATTATTAACTATATTAAAATAGTTTTAGTTGTAATAATGAACCTGATTTGATTTTATTCATCTAAATTAAAGCTGAATTTTAAATTCATTTTGCAGAATACTAGTAAAAAGTTATTTTATCTAATTTATTTATAAATATTATATTTATATTACAATATGCAAATATTGTTTTATTATAAAATTTTGATTATTAAATTTTTTAGTAAAATAAAAATTAATAATTATATTAAAATTATATTAACTAAAGTATATACTAACTAGAAGTATTTTTTAATTCAATATTTTTGAAAAAACACTTTACAACTATTATTTAATATATATACTTTAAATAAAGTTAAATTAATATATATTTTAAAAAATTATAATTTATATCTAATTCTAATATCTCTTTATTATATTACAACATCAAAATATTAGTAATTAAAAAGTTATATTACTTAAAATCTTTATAGTACTATTAATTATAAATAATATTGTATAATTATATATAAATTTTGTAGTTATATAAAATTAAATAGTTATAATTAATTATTTATTATATTAATTAATTATAACTACTAATTTAAACTATATTAATTCTTTTATATTTAGTAATTATATTAAAATTAATAATTATATAATACTACAATATAAAAATTTACAATTTTGTAAAATATATTAATAATTATTTTTAAAATATATTTTATTAAAAAATTTATAATATAATATATAATTTTGAAGACTTAAATAAAGTACAGAAAACTTTTATTAGCATTATATATTTATTTCTTAAATTTAATATATTTATTGATTATATTATTTTAAACTTGAGTCTTTTGCTTTTAAAACTATAAATATTGTATATTACTATATTAATTTTTTATTACTAAAATATATTTTGTTTAGTAATATTTTATTTTCTTTTTTTGTATTTTGTATTTGCAATATATATGAAAAATTAGTTACAGATATAGGGTGTAGTGACTTAGTGAAGTGGTTAAGTTGTCACACCCCCAAGCAACAAGTTGCAAATAGGGTTCAAAACTTACCAATAGTGAAATTTTGAATATTCTGCTTGAATAATGGCTACTGTCTTTCATTAATCAGTTAGAACGAGATCTCTGTAACCTTGGTTGCATCAACAAAATTGAAAAATCATAAGGCATTTGTGCAATACATAAGTTACATAAAGGCATACAAGTTGGTATTAGTCAGTGCAAACCCAAGATAAGGCCTTGTGTTTGTATAAACTCAGAGAACCAGAAAGATGAATGCCCGCTTGGCAAGACCCGAGTAGAAATGTAACACAGACTTTCGATGGCAGCTACTGGAATAGGCTTCACCTGAGGCTGGAGAACTGGACGTGGCAAGAACACCTGGCAAATTGTTCCACCAACCTGGCCACCTGATTGAACATTGACTGGAGAAAAAGGATCAGCAGATACCATGAGACCGGTGTCTTTCCGGGCCATCTGGATTGGTAGTCTGGGAAAACTAGCTAGGGGGTACTAAAGGGAAGGTACCAGATTGTTTTGAAGAAAGAGTACCGGGGTTTAGGTGAACTTTGCAAGGGCCAGTAAGTTCGGCGGTGTGACCTGCCTATAAAGGTTTAAAAACTATTCGGTGAACTTATCTGCGAAAGGAATTGGCGGTGTGGCCTGCCTGTAAAGGTATAGAACCTATCCGGCAAGACTTATCCGAAAAAGACTAGGTAATACAGTAATAGTGGGTATCAGACTGCTCTAGCAGGTGATGACCTCGAGGATGAATCGGTTAACCAAGCTGGTAGTCATATAGGTAGTTCACGAACAATCCTAGAACTTGGACTGACTAATGTACCGCAGGTTAGAATTTTATATTTAATCGTTCATGCCCTAATTGGATCTTCTGTGCATTCTCCAAATTTACTTTCCTACGCAGATATAACTAAACGGTGAACAACACTGATCAATATTTTCTGGCCCATATTATTGCTGATTGGACAATTCTTGGACAAAATTTTAACTATTCATATAAACGCTATTTCATTCATTACTTACAATGATGACACAAGCCACCGTCTGCGTCAATGATAAGGATATATATCAGTTGAACGTGAAGATTGGAAAACGCAATTTACTCAAAATTACGTTTCTCCATTAATTAGAAATGTCACTGAAACTATAACAAACTTTCAGCATTAGCCGCCGTATCTGCAGGTCGAGGAAATGATGCCAATATTATGAGCAAACAAGATCGATAGTTGAAGAATATCGACTTTCGAAATCAGCACGACTTTGGCGTAAAATTGATGTAGTTTCTTTAATGGTTTCCGTACTTATTATAATTGAGACCTAGCACAATATCAAGCAAAATAACCATTTGTTGCGGCATTTTTCTAATATTCTGAACGTTTAGAGATAATTAAATATTTTGATGAATTTATTGATAGGGAAGGAGACAAAGCTAATTTAAATAAAATGTATAAAAAATTTGAGGATTCTTGGAAAACCAGGGATGAGTCGTAATATGCCTATTATTATGGGATTAATGGAAGAAAGAATTCTGGTATTTACCTTTGCGATTTTAGAATCTTTAGAACGATTTCTTGCGAGATGTTATGACTATTCCTCCTAGCTCTTGTAAAGCACTTAGGTTTTTGAAACAAACTTCATTTGTTGAAGAGGAAATTTCAACAACTATTACAGTAACTAGTCAATATTCCATTCATTCATTAACACTTAATCAAGTTCATTTTGATAATATTTTTTCATATAACCAAGAGGAATTTGGAGGAATTTAGATGTTGAACGTGGTTTTGATATTATTTATGATTTACAAAAAATAGAAGTTGAACTTGCACAATAATTTATATTTGAAAAGGATTATATAGATTAAGTAGTTGAAACTTCATTATACATACAACCTTTTTCATGTCGCATTGAATTAATTCAAGGGCCTATACGTATTCTTGAAGATATACAAGATCTAATTCCTCAAGAACTGACTAGAAAAATTGCTAACAGGGTCTCCGACAAATATACTATATTTTTTCCAACAAAACAATTTGGACTATTGTCTGATAATCTATCAGAAAACCTTTCATCCTTGGAATTCTGATTTGCCTTATTAAACGGGCGCCCAGGACATGTTCATGCCTCCTCAATTATACTTTGTTTTTTTTTAATATCGCCTTCTACTGCTTTTTCTTTTTGTTTCATTTCATTCCTTCTCAATAGTACTTTAGTTATATCACCTATCGTTGAAATTTTTAATATCAAAGTGCATGTTTCTATTTTCATCTAATTTTCTTTACATTTCGAGTTTCAGAGAATAGATAGATATGGATTGTGCTCACTATTTGAAATTCAAACCAAATTCTCTTGCTATTTTAAATTTCATCTCAATTTTCTCTTAAACACTGCCTAAATTTTTTTTCTTTAAAGTGGAAAGATTTGTGTACCATTATTATACTTTTGGCCACCTATAATTTTTGAATCAGAAAATTTTGATAGCATTTGTAACTTATAAATATGTTACGATTAAGATAATTTATTATTAGATTAGAATAAAGATTTTCATAAAAAATTTTATTATTGTCAACTAATTATTTTGGCGGGCAAATTTGTCACCAACCCGGACAGTTTAAGGGATACATCTGGATTCTTATAAACATTTTATGTAAAAATAAAAAATGATAAAATAAATTTTACAAAACGCCTTTTAATATTCTAAAAACAATTTTTTGCTAAATTTTTTTATTTCTTAAAATTTTATTTTAAAAAAAACATTCTAATTTATATTTATTTACATCTTATTATTGAAATAATCTATTGTCACTCATATTTCATTTAAAGTCGTATGTTTTTAGGGTTAGAAAGGGTCATAATATGTAGTAAAAGAATAAATAAATAAAACACCAACCATACATCCCAAGCTTCGCATTTTATAGATAGCCCGTTCATGGTTATATTAAATAATCGTGTTAATACTTCATACATAAATTATCATGAACATGGGCTCTATACTTGATTGATACTCAAATAATTGACGCATAAAAAAATATTTTTAATTTTAATTGACTGATCTTACAAATGTAGTGATTTGAACCGAGTAAAAAATGTCAATTGGTTAACCGACTCACCAATTGCATTATTTTTGAATCCTAGACATCTTGTTACTTCATAAGATGACCGTGAGAAATTAATAGATATATCCATATTAGACATAAATAAAAGTTTAGTAATAATTCATAAAATGATTCTTAATAATAACGCTAACATCTTACCAAGTGATTCTATCACCTTCAGTAAATAAAGCATTTAATATTAATGATTTATTATCAGAAACGGTTGCCAAATTAAACATATGTCTATACTATAGAAATAGGCCGCAAGTAGTGTTGAGCCTAATGATATTGAGGCATGCAATGCTACAATATGTGATATAACTGATTTTAAGAACCGAATACTATAATCTATAGTATTATCTAAATGAATAAGCGATCGATTGTTTAAAAGTATTCTTCCTATAGTTTGTTTATATCCGGTTGATAAATGTTCATTGTACTAACGATTTTCAAAAAGTCCAGCTTGAATTTCTGGCGCTCCCCATTCAAGAGATGCCCTAATCACATGTAGATGAGATATAATAAGTCCAATTAATTTAATTCTTGCAAGACATCTTGCACGAAATGCATTAATATTTGCAATAGCCTGAAAAGGAGCTTTGTTACCAATGCTGCATAATTCTTTAAATGTGACCTCCGCCTGGTGATATTCCGGCAGTTGCCAATATGGATTAAATGGAAGACGAGTATCTTTATTATAATTCAAACTCTATATTATTATCCCAGCTCTGGAAATTTTCAAACATGTAGTCTCAATAATATTATTTTATTCAATATCTCTATAAAAGTATTATCTTCTTTATCTTTATCGTTAGTCCATTCATTCATCAAAACCCTCTTGAATAAGGTAGTAGCAATTCTAATCGTATGAAGATTTTGTTCAAAAAAAATCTTTCTGTCCAATCGGATTGCCACCTTCAGCGATTTTAAATAACACTCAAATGCCTTTTATTCCTCCTTAGCTTTGTTTATTGCATTTTGGTAACAGAAACCAAGATTGTTTTGTCCATTCAGATTATCACTCAAAAGCTTTTTTTTTTCATTCTTGACTGTGCTTATATCATTTTGGTAGCAGAATCCAAGATTCAATTGTCTATTCGAATTTTCACCTTCGGCAGATTTCGAATACCACTCAAGTGCCTTTTTTCATCCTTCACTTTAAAGAAAAAAATTAACTAGAATTTAGAAAAAAAAATTTAGATAGTAAATTGAGAAAGAACGAAATGGGACAAAAAGAAAAGTAATTGAAGGCAATATTTAAATATATATATTAAAATTGCAATTGAGATGAGAACTAGACAAGCCGAAAAATTAAGCAGTTTAGATTTGGCATTAGAAAACAATATTAAAAAAAAAAAAAAAGAAAAGAAACAACTTAAAAAGTACGTACAATTAGGGAGGTGCGATATGAGACTAGAAATATCTGTACTCTATTGTTGTCCTTTCTAGATAATATCACAACATAGAATAGCTATTGAGGAATCCAAATTATTATTTTTCAAATCAGAATTAATCACCTTAATCGAGGCGAGGCTTGTAAATACTATTTTGATCTTGTAATATCCGTAGAAACAGTCAAAATTTGTTTCTTTTCATTTCAAAATATTTTAGTGATTATTTGCCCATAAGTGAAAAAGGATCTTTTTGTGAAAAGATGTTGTTATAAATATGTTGCCTAACTGCAGAATTCAATGGGATAGAGTTAAGACATATCATTATAAACGAACTTTGCAGAGACAAATTTTGTTCGGGTTTTTCAAGGTTGGATAGAATGCTTAATACGTGATCATAAATTTTTTGGATAAAGCGTTTTGTTCATCATAAGCTAGCCACAAATTTATAGAAAATTCTCTAAAAACTTGATTGCTGAAAGCCGGAAGTGATGCTATGATATTATCACTAAATCTTCTAGCAGCGGGTTTAAAAACATAATATAAAATTTCCTGAACATCATAGCTGTCTAAGTTTTGTACGTTCATCTTCTCATGCAGTCCTGAATTCATTAATTATTTTCATAAAATAATATGAAAATGGAAATCTTAAATTATAAAAGAGTTTTGATATTACATATTGAGCAGTTTTGGTCCAATCAAGTCATTGGTATTTAGAATCTTTGATTCCAAGAGCATTGTTTGTGAAAACATAATTAAAGTCCTTTTCTTTTGACTTATTGATACGAGTAACTGACAATTTCTCAAGAATAAATAGCATTTTAGCCATAGGACGTCTAACCCATGACCAGAGGTAAATACATAATACGGCGGGAAAGGATAAGTATGGATATAATAATTTTTCATGAGATGCAACTTTATATTGCCAATCATCCGTGGAGCATTCCTCTATCTATTTTAATATACGTTCTTTTAAGCATTCAATAAGAAGAGGACTTCAAATTACATCTGTTTTCAAAGTTCTATAAAAATAATCTTTTGAGAGTTCTGCCAATTTTTTGTGGTCTTCTAGCTACTTATCTTGAAATGACTTGAGACGACCCACCCGTTCACTATACATAATTCAACTTTTGTATCACTTATTTCTGCTGTAAGCATATAATCTGGTCTTTTTGCGCATCTCAAGTCACACCAGCTCGCAATGCACTAACTAAACTCTAAAATTCAAAAAAATAATTATTATAATATATCTATTTATAACCTTATGAAAAAAACCAACTCACCTTATGTGATTGGCTTATTTTGAAATAGATGAATACTTTATACATAATAAATACATGACAATTCATGCTTAAGAATCTTCTCAAACTTGTATTCATTCTTAATAATATCAACCAAAGAACGATTTAAGCTAATTAACAAATTCTTCTCTTGTTGTGTTAAAGCCTCAATTGTAACTTGTTTACATCCGCACATAAATGAAGATGTATAATTTTGACTTATTGAATATGGAGAATAATACAAATATATTTAATAATATATAGATTTTTTTTCAAAAATTCGCTTTAAATTTGCTTAACGATGAATTTTGCTAGCTTAATATTGACGAGATGTTAATAAATTACTTTTGTACTTAAAATTTGTCGACGGCTTTATTTGTTTATTACTGCACTCGCTTGTTGTAATACTTTGGTTTCATTTGTCTTCCAACAACCTCCTTCACAAAGTCCACACCACCACTCAATTAGCAGGTCTCATGACGTTATCTCTTAGGTTCAAGTTTATAAACGAAATATCAAAGCTTAGGCTTGATCTCTAAAATCGAACCCTTTTCTTTTTTTATTTTTGCTTATCACTGATCTACGTATTATGTTAGACAATTAATTAGTAATTGACTTACATTGTATCAAATATGCTTTAAAGTTACACAACCTAATCGCTACATAGCGTTATCATCTCCCAAACCTGTTTTATTCTGTTTTGAGCTGGAGTTTTAGAAAATGTATTAACGGGCTCAAACATAGTTTGATGTGGTCGGATTTGTATTACCGGGTTTTTATTGAATTTGGTAAAATTGATTTTCAAATT